GGGAGCATTGGCACCATTTGGAATACCATGGCCATGCCCAGGTTGAACGCTAGGGGGCACGCGTGCCGGTCCTGGCCCCGAGCTTACGGCGGGCGAGCCTGGGACCTGTGTTTGTAGCGGTGGCAATCGGAGAGACTCGTCAAATGCAGAGGTATGACGGGTTGGTGTCGGAGCAGCTTGATACGACATTGGTGTACGCGGCTGCGGTGGTGGTTGCATGTGAGGATAATTAGGTTGGCTGACCATTTGCCATTGCCTACCTCCTAGTCTAGGTAGTGGCCCAGGGCCATATCCAGTTGCCGACACTGGTGGACCGGCGAGTGGTTGGCGATGGAATCGTGGATCAGCAGACATATAGCCCATCGGTGGCGATCCCGGAGTAAATACGTTCGGCCCGTTGAAACGACGTCGTTTTGTATCTACCGGCGTTCCTATTGGCGACATCATCGGGTAATCCTCATCGATATTTTGCATGTGCGGTGGCATATATCGACGTTCTTGGCTGTCAAGAGACATGATGCTTGAACCTGATCCACGCCGTAAGTGGTCTGTCTCGATTACTCTAGGGTTTGGTATCGCATAGGACGGCATGTTAGGGCCCAGCCCGGCACCCTCCGGCGTTGCGGCACTGAAAGGGGTGGAAGGTGTCCTTGGTGTCGCGATATAACGTCCACCGCACTTAGGACAGTGACCAGGATCTTCGCCAGTCGCCGGTATGGGCCTGCTGCCGGAAGCTTTGCCTCCTCGCCTAGGCTGGTATCTGTAGTCAGGGTATTGACGCTGATGTCGAAGTTTTTCCTCTTCTGCAAGCCGTTTCCAATTATTCTTTATCTCTTCGGGCTGCTCGCGCCACTGTTCGCCAATGAGCTTTGATATCTCTGGGTTGGCTAGTCCCGGATTCCGAGAGGCGACCTGGCCTTGGTAGTGCTGTCGATAAAGAATGAACGCTGTTGGAAGGGGTGAAAGCGAATGTCAGCTGTATGCTCCCAGATTCAAGTTTGCAACATGTTCAATTTGTTACCGGATGTAATAAGACAAGTCTCGACCCTTTCATTTCCGCCCCTTTGAATTCTAAATACAGAACACAACACACGGACAAAGAGATAGCCGTCCGAGTTACCCGTCTCGGGACTGGGATACATCTGAAACCTTGTCGTGTTTCTGGAGAAGCAAAGGGGAAATAGTAAAGGGTTGGAAAGAAGAGCGGTGGGGGATATTTTCGGCTCAGGTAGAGTCCCAAACTCGAGTTTGCTAAGGCAAATAGAACGACAGCAGAAAACATGAGTAAAACTCTTTTACGTACCATTACGCGGCCTAGGAACCTTGGGTGCTTTTGTACAGAGACATATTAGGTCCCTAAGCCCTTCGGTTGTATTTGATGTTGCTGTATTAGGGGTATAAAGTCGAAGATCTTGGATTCGGGGCTGATTCGCCTCTTCCACGTCGATGGAGTATGCTCGTTTTCGACCCTGTCTTGTAGCGGCGGTTGTTGAGGGACTACTATCATCAGGTAGATGTGCTCCTGGAGCTGCTATGAGGTTTGATCTTGCTGCTTCTACTTCCCTATCGTCGTAGGAATTCGTTGCCATCGTAGACCGAGACTCAGTCTGTCTTGTAGGGCTAGTTGTCAGCGTAGCTGAAGAATCTGTAGTCTGGAGGGAAGACCGGTCATTTTGGGAGGTAGAGGGAGAAGGATAGCTGCTGCTAGGTTCGGTCATGTTCTTCGCAAACGGTTGATAGCCAAGCAGAGAGGAGAGTGTCGGTGTGTGGGGAGGGCGGACAGCTCAAAGAGCGGAGTCCCAGTTCGGGAGCATACACGAGCTCTCGCTACAACGACTACCAAGGCCTCAGGGGTCTGGCATCTGAAGAGAGAAGGATCCTTGGAAACAGTGACGGCGACGACGATGATGTGATAAGCCAACTAACTCGTAGTAGGGTGTGTATGTGGCTGTCGATCTAAGGCGAAGACATGAGACATGAATAAATGGTGGAGGCAACAACTAAGGGCTTGTTAGGATTGTTTTCTTTGTTGATATCCTTTCTATTCACAAGGCTTCAGCTAGGTGACAATGACCAATAACCCTAGGAAGAGAGGAGGTACACTTCAGGTGGTCAATGACCTTATGCCGTTGCCACTACTACCACTGCTGACTCTCCCGCATACGCACATACAAACCCAGCGTTGGCCATTAACAAAGTGTTTTGCCAACGCAACTAACTAATTAGTTACCAGGGGAATAAGAGCCAGCAGGTTAGGTCGAGAGAAGGGAAAAAGGAGGATATGTTTCTTTGGGACTATGTCTCGGGAATATACTGAGGTCCAGGCTGTTGCAGATTAGAGCCACTTCTCTCTACCTATCTTTTTTTTCTCCCCCTTCCTTTGTCCAGCGTTTGCAACGGCCAATACCTAACAATTACTCTGCCGTTCGCAGTAGTCAATAATAGGCCAGTCATTCTAATGATGACAAGAGTAAGTCTAACAAATATATTAGACAACAAAGTCTATAAGGTCAATAGTCAATGCATACATATATTATATATAGTGGCCTTGTTCGACGCAGTCAAAAAAGAAATTAGAAAGGTTTCCTTCTTAACTGCTTGACACAACATGACAACCCCTTAGTTCAAAGCTACATTAGGTACAATACACTAGGAATGCTCTATGCTCTGCTGTCCCCCTGCTGGAACGGACTGAATACCTACCTAACACTGTCTCTTACGAGCTCTCATTCCCCTCAATTACTAGCAACAACAAAGACAATGTCAACCGAAATTAGCCTAGGTAGAAGTCACGTGGACCCATAACTTTTCATTGTCCCTAGCCAAGTTTTTCTGAAGAGTCGTCGTTTTGCAATGTCTCAGTATTATCTCTGGGGTTGGCGATCTGGAAAGCAACCAACCAGGTTGTCTCTCTATTTATATTGTGAACAACCAACACACACACATACATACACATACACAGTACATTTAGGAACTCCGAAACCCCTCCGTAATGTAATTTTCCTATCCCGAATCCCTATTTCTCGTAGTTTCGGGGCCGTAGCCTTGCGAAATTGGATTATTATGACAAGTCCCGTCCGTGGTCTAAGACCTCCCGTTTTCTTAAGACACAACGTGCTTATGAGATAAACCCACGTCCTGTCTCACCGCTCAATAAGTCGGCACTCCGTCGCGCATCGAGGAAAAGCTCCTCGCACTCTGCAACATCTTTAATATCAATCTGACTACGACCATTGACTCGAGCGAGAATGCTATTTTTTGATAAATCAGTTACTAGACCGCGTCGAAAGGAATAAGAAACACTGTAAACTGTTGAATACATACCTTGCAGGAGTCAACAGCTGAAGGCAGTATCTGAGACTAATGCGCACACCGTGCTCGGCGATCTTGTCAATAGCAGCATCCGTGATCTGCACACCTTCTGTTGTTGCTCGGATGCGTACAATGCGTTTAATCTCATCGGCCTCGTACGGTGTGGTAGGGATAATGAGGAGTCGAGCTAGGAAATCAGGGGGGATGCCGTGTGCGGCAACAACACCATCCGTACCACGGATGGTGCACATACCACGGTTCGAGGCAAGCACGACAATCGGTGAGATTGAAGATTCTAACGCTCGGTTGAGATATGTAAAACACTCGATGTCAAGCATGTGCGCCTACCGTAGATTAGCTTCCCGACTCAAAATCTAGTACGTTATGGTAGACGGGTATTACCTCATCAATGAATAAGACACCCGGGACAAGTTCAGCTACTCCTTGGTCAATGTATTTGCTGACGACCTTGTTGATTTCGTCTCGTAGCTTCTCTGTGATCTCCGTCATCTTGGGCTTCATAAGTTGGCCCATCATACTCATTATATCCTGGCCGCCTTGGGGCCGGGCGTTGGCAACGTCCAGGTCGTGAAGTGTAACATCTTGCACGATCTCTTTCTTCTTGTGCACCTCACCCTTTGGAATAGGGACATACTCCTCTGCTTCGAGATCGAATTCTGTGGCATACGCGTCTGATCGTCCAACTCTTTTGCAGGCACCTGTGTTCGCCTCAATATAGATGACATCTCCAACAGTAACTCTCTCCTTCTGGATTGCTTCATAGATACTTGGATCTAATCTGAGCTTCTTCTGGCCCCTTGCACTCTTTAAACCTATCAGTAGCGTGCTGATAGTCTTTCCATAGCCACCTAGCGGGTTCTCTGCCTCTTCTGGGGTGAGCTCTGTGACTTCACCCTCGTAAACCTCTTTCGTCTCGCGCACCTTTAGCCCGATGGCTCTTCGGAAGTTTTCCATCAACACTTCGGTCTTCTTCACTTCGGTTGAGTAGATCTCGCTTCCGACGATTGGGCAAAAGGGAATCTTGGTGCCGAGTTCGTGGCTCAGCGCAAGCGCAAGTGCTGTCTTTCCGGTCCCGGGTCCGCCTGCGAGTAATACACCACGGCCGGCCATCTTCGAAGAGCGAATGAGGTCGACGATAACGCCAGCAGCCTATGTCAAGTAGAAAAATAAGTTAGTAGTCAGCCTGATATAGCGGACACCAGGAGGCTGGAACTTACCTCTCGGGCCTGCTGTTGGCCTACAAAGCCGCCGGCCTGCCTCTCAGCTGTGCCATCGGACTTGAGGCCCAATCCTTTGATGTGAGTGTGAGCAGCAGTTCGATTTTCGCGATTGTTGCCCTTGACCTCGCTGATTTGCACCATCTTTGCGAAGGGATAAGTTTATCACTAGATGGTGGGAATAAATCGTGGTTCTAGGTAATGCAGATTCAATCAACGACCGATCTTGATTGTTTATTTGAAAAGGTTTGTAGGGTTAGAAATCATATGTAAAACTAGTTAGCTTAGAAGAAGTGCTGAAAATCGGTGTCGCATTAGAAATTATTATGAACTTATCAGAGTTGGGAGCTTGGGTCAACGGATTGATGTTAGAGCTCTAAAGTCGCGAAACTTTTCTGGGTCGCGCTTGTATGGTCCGTTTTTATACTGTGTTTGATTACTGTATATGTAGTTATATGTAAAGCTTCGATAAGTTCCTTCTAAGCTCAACGCTAAGTAGAGGTACTTTGGTACTTCATTCAATATACGCATCTTCTATCGCTTCTATACAATTCACCCTCAATCTATCTATAGAATCTTATCTTATATCTACAGTCGTTTAAGCACAAAACCTTCTTCATTCGTATCTCTATCCACATCCTCACAAAGCATCGGTGCGTTTTCGCTATCCGTAGATGTTACAACAGCTATGTCTCCTCTCTCTACATCTTCATAATCGCCGTTCTTCCTCGTCTCTTTCTTCGTAAGAACAACCCATAATGCACTACTAACGATGAGTCCGCATCCTGTGAGACTTATCCACCCCATTTTATTGCCAAAGACCCAACGGTCGAAACCCGCCGCGAATAACATGTGTGTGTAGGTCATAGCAGTTGCACGGTTGCTCTTCTCGATAGCTAGACCAGCTGTCATAAGTATCTGCATAATTACACCACATGCGGCGACCGCTATGAGCAGCGCACATTGGCGGATCGAGTGTGGTAGTTCAAGACGTAGATCCGGTTGCCCATAGTCGAGCAGCGGCGCAAGGGACAGAGTTGTGGTTGTGACGATCAAGGACCATGAGCTGAAGTAGTTGACTGATATCAAAGGGTGCGCCCGCTTCCCGATACATCTCAATGTCGTGAAAACAACCGCTGCCCCAAGGACGCCCAAGAGCGCAACGCCAATAGCTTTCAAGCGCTCGGCACTTGTTGAGATATGCTCTCCACCAGGGTAAGAAGTTGCTTCTGCCGTGGCATTTACGACGGCTTCCGCTACTATATTAGCAGCAGATGAAGAAGTTGCACCTGAGAAGAGGGACGCCGGCCTTGTGATGAGCACGACTCCTGCTAATGCCACAAACGACGCGAGCTGCTCAACTCGTGTAAAGGGTTCGTGCATGAAGATATGGCACAAGTACCCGGTGATGTTAGGGGCGAGGAAAGTAATAACGGTTGCTTCAGCAAGCGGTATATACTTGACTGAATACCACATACCATATATACCAAAGAAACCAGAGAACCCTCTCAATACCAGGAGCCACCGGATATCTTTATGCCCTAATACGCCGTGTGGGATTCTCTTCCACCATATGTATGCGGAGACACCGATAACTGTCATACTCATCCTCGCAAAGAGGATTTGCATAGGATGCATGCCTCCTTCTATCTCGAGTAGGCGAGCAATAAGATTCATCAGCGATCCGAAGAACTGTGCTGCGAATACCAAAATTGGTGCTTTGTTTTTACGCCATGTTGATCCAAACCACCCTCGAATTCCCAAGCTTGGATAAGTCTTTCCAGGTTTTAAGGGAGGTCCGGGTGACCCGCCTCGCCCATCCGAAGAAAAACGATCTGACTCAATGTCTACGACAGTTGATAAGTCTGATTCGAAATCGCTGTGTTTCTCGGGTTTGTCGACCAAGATAGGGAGATAAGAGAGGACGATTTCTTCACCATTGTCGAGTTGTTTAGTTTCGGGAATTAATATAGAGGGCGACATGATCATCAATATCTCCGAAGCGCTCCAACTAATCCTAAGGGCGCCGATTCTGTACTCATCTACACAGGTTTAAAGACGACTATGAACGAGGTTTGGAATGGCTTTACGGCGAGTACCCTATCTCAGTTTCTCCCTAGCAAGTAATATTGAAGAGACTAGGATAGGTTCTGGTAACTTATTTGGGCTGAAGATCGACCTGTCATAAGCGGGGGAAGACAAATTATTAGCAACCATAACGTGCTTCTCTGTTAGAACGTACCCATCCCAAGATGCAACCACTACGAACCAAAGTGGCCGCATCCGCCGAAAGTTTGTTGTGGGGTCTGAGGATTCATATACTTGACTGGGATACGACGGTATTGTTAAAGGTGGGAAAAGTAGCAAGCGAGTGACAATGCTTTGTACTTTGAACTTACTCAACATAGGCTCAATTTTACTAAATCTTCTATCACAGCGAATATTCCGAGTTAAGTTTGAAAATAGCGAGTAGTTTAGTTAACTATAAACACTATTCTTATAAGTTTTTCATACTTTATCTTAGACTTTAAGGCTGGAGTTAGTAAGGAGAAGCCATCTAAGTGCTAGCGTGGGTTGTAGGTATCTACAACTTATTTTGTCACTCACCTAACTAGGAACCATGAAACTGGCTCTGCGGCTGTCGGAATGCCTGAAAATGTCATCTGTCACTGGAGCAAGACAATGTAAGCTACTGGCGCGATCGTCCTATCGACCCCGATGTCGCGGTCCATCCAGCGAATCGGTAGTTACCCCGCGTGGGTCGCAACGCCGGACTAGCCGGCCTAGCAGACGCATGATCCGGGGCTGAGAGTCGCAACGGGAACCTTTTTGGGAAACTGTCTACATGTGTAAGTTAGGTTGGTAAATCGCGATGTAGGGTTGTAATACTTCCAACTCCCGATGCGACTAGGCGTAGCACCTAGTACCTGATTACTACCCGGAACCGGCAAGTGTGCCGCACTGATACATAGAGTGTTGGGATGTAAGATTGAAGGTATAAAGATGGGATGGTTTTGTTGATATGGAAAGCCTAATTAAACATGGGCACTACTAGTACCACGCTGCTTGATCTCTAAACCTTAGATGACTAGCTACGCTAGGTGTGTTTGGATCTGAGATTTACTTTGAGGCTATACCAGAGTTTGATGTATAAACTTGAAAGTGGAAACTTTACTAGGTTTCGAGATGACAGTTATTCGGCTGTCAAGGTACTGCAAGATACGACGTTTTGAAGCTCTTGGTAATATATCATGGCAATAAGCATAGATTTAGTGATGATAGTTGACGTTTGGTCTTCCCGACGTAATACTTGCTTTAAAGGGACCGGGAACTATTTTCATTGCTGTCTCGATGTATATAGGTAAAGAGTGACTTCCTTACTATCTCATGGTATAAGTACGAAGATGTAAGTAGTGAGAGACTCACTACAAGGGATTTCCTTCGATCTCCCTCGTTCTTATAACCAGCTACACATAAGGTATCGTACTAGAATAACTCTAGTAGAGTTTGGACAAGTTGGCAGTAGGGTACAATGTATTTATATATCCGCTATCCAATAGCTACTCGAAGTTATTAGCTATTCATCGATTAATGCTAGTGACTGGTGTTGCTACACACGAAGCTTTACCCAGCCGTATAAGTTCACAGAAAATATTTCATTGAGATGCAGCCAAAATATACGTGTAAATAAGTATATACACCTAATATATCTCGTTTTCCACACCTACACGCTTATAATGCCCATATATACAACATCCACCATATATATATTTATTTCCCCTCCCCACTACCTAACCCCTAATAAGACCAACTCGCAACCGCCGTCCCATCAAGCGACACACACACCCCCACCGTCGGGCCCACCACCACCGACTCACCAGTACAATTAAGTCCAGTCCAGCCCGTCAGAGAAAGCGTCTCCGGCCGCTCGTTGTACCGCACGCGCGCGGACCCGGTGCCCGGTGTGGCGGTATTCTGGCACGCGCCGCGGCTGTAGAGAAATGCCTTGATGCCGGTGGTCCCGCTGCAGTCGGCCGCCGCGCTGAAGAGCTCCGCGTAGAAGACGGCGGAGGGGTCGGCGGCGCGGGATGCGGTGGTGAGGGCTGCTAGGCTGGGGAGCAGGAGGGTGAGGGTGAGGGTGGGACGCATTTTGTTGGTTGGTTGGTAGGGATGATTTCTCGCTAGGTGGGTGAGTGTCGTGGTTATTTGGTTTTGAGGGTAATGATGAGACTTGCTTCTTTGGCACTGGTGCTCGTATCTGAGGTCGTGGGAGTGAGGTGAGGCTAAAATGTTAAGGGGAGCTATGGCCGTAGTTAACGGTCTATTTATACTCTAGACGAGAGGTTCTCGTCGGTTGATTAGGCCGCAATAATACCAAAGAGCTATTATTAGAGCCGAGTTACTCGGTTGTAGTATGTAAGTAATCCATGAGTAATTCGATCATGAACTGCAAGCAAACCTTAGAAATCCTCCCGTCTAATATCTTGGCTCGGGATTAGAAGCACTAATGGCAAAAGGTCCCTGTCTTATAAACCGGATACACAGGTTCTCCATACTTCGGAAGCACGCGAAGCTTTTACCTTCTAGATGTGGTTCGGTTGTCGCGTCTGGACCGGCAGACGCCAAGGTTCACGATCCTTCGTCTTGATTGAAGTGGCCACTCCGGAGACTTTGTATTGGCCCCTAGGTCACCGCTAAGTTAGTATATACCTTGACTAACTATGCGGAGTAAACATACATTTCCAGTTTCAAGCACCAGTGTAAGCAATCATTATAGTACTTCGTACGGAATGACTTGATAAAAATAATGTAAATTGGTAAAGCATGCATGTATTAGTCTCGAGCAAAAGAACCCGACCCAGACTATCGTGACTCTAAAATGCAATCTGGTATTTCCCTACCCCCAACGCCGTTGCTATGCCTGTAAATATGCAAATTCATCATAGTCGCCATTCATAATGAGACACCGCGTCATATCCCATCCAATGCCTATGCCCATTCCGCAACCCGCCTATTTCGGCGTTCTCTTCCTCTTCTTGCTCCCCGTACCCTTCGCCGACGACGCCGCCGCCGCCGCCGTATTCAAAAGCTCGAGATCCTCATCCTCGTCATCGAGGCCAAGCAGGTCGTCCTCCCCACCAGCCGCGGCATTAGCAGCAGCGGCAGCACTCTCCTTACCGTGCTCCTTAGCAAGCGCGTCGTCCTCCTGGTCGAAAGTACGGCGCATCTCCTTAATCTTCTGGCGCTTCTCGATCATACTCTTGACGCGCCCGAGGTACTGGGGGTTGCGGCGCAGGGCGAACTCGAAGTCGTCGAACTTGAGCTTCTGGCGCCCGGCTACCTGCGCGTGGCGACTCGCCTCGAAGCAGACGCCCTCTAGGAACTCGGTCACGATCTCGTCTAGCACGCGTACTGTGTCCGGCAGCGGGTCCTGGACGTCGCCGAAGGCGTAGAGCAGGGCGCGGACTGGAGGGGTTCGGTCAGTTTATTTGGAGTGGCTGTGGGGTGGGTATATTGGCATTGAGTAATAAAGAAGATGTAATATACGCACTCTCTTTCGCATTGAAAGTCTCCTTGCCCACATTCTTACCAGCACGGGCGCGAGGCTCCATGATGAACGCGAATGGTGCTGTTGTAAATATAAGGTGGCAAGGCTGGTATTTCCTTGGACGAAGGATTTCTAGCCTTATGAATTGGGGCTAGTCATTAATCATAGATGTGCGTAAGAGACGTTGGTGATATCGGATGTCGAAGTTGATGTTTGACGGAAAGAAAGAGAGAGAGAGAGCGTAAGGCTGAGGAAGTCGTACCTCGATGTTTGGTAGTGGGGTCTGATCAGATAAATGTTAGGTACACCCACCCACCCCTGACTTGTTCTGTCCGTGTAACTTGGAGCTGAAATTTAAACATTGGTACGTACCATCTAGCTGACGGTTTCCCCCATTCAGATCCCTGTCATCCACGCTTCACGCTACGGATTATCGCCGGATAAGCTTCCTCTTAGGTAAGCTCTCCAACTCTGTCGACAGCTGGCTTCTACATAGAAAGGCGGAAACCGTGAGTCGCCGCATGAGTACCTAAATAGCAAACCAACCGGCATTCGAGAACAATAGACGACGCGTATAACATTATCGTTAACTAACAACTCGGGTTGACAACATGGTAAGTTTAGATTTCGATATATTGACGCGATAATGCTAATACTAATTGTCAAATCCAGTCTGCGCTCTTCAACTTCCAGTCCCTCCTCCTCGTCATCCTCCTCCTTATCTGCACATGCGCCTACGTACACCAAATATTCCCAACGATTCTCGACAGGAATAAGCAGGGGTAGGTTTATTGCTATCTGAATTTGCGCACATTGCCACCTTGCGAATGAGGCTAAGTTTTGCATTACAGATTCATGGGCATTTTCTGGAAGGCTGCGAGAATAGGGGAGAGGCTAAGTCCATACATGAGTCTATGCTGTGTGTTTATGGCGGTAAGCTAAACATCTCCCTGCTACTGCAATCCTACGCGGCTCACTAATAATGAATAGTGCTCGATGGTTATCGGTAACTAGCGCATCGGACGCACCCTTAAGTGTATCGTAAAAGACGAATGGAGTCAGGTTTGTTTTCAGCAACGGTGTAAACGGCAACATGGGGATGGTAGCACGGTAATGGCGATATCGTCGTGAATAGACGAGTTTTACCTACCATCATACAATAGAAAACTTGATTATGCATCCGCCGAAACAGCCACTATCATTGATTCTGCTATGACAAGCGAGCGACAAACCTCGTCACATTTCGCCGTCCCGTCATCCTCCACCAGTTGTTCAGCTCGTCACCGTCTGTAGAACATCAGCTTGTTGCCTTCCTTGGTGATCAAGCGATGCGTTATCGTCGGCGATTCAGGCGCGGTGTACAAGCTTGGGTTGCCGCTTCGTGGAACTCGGCCTCTACGCTGCTTCTGTTTAACCAAGTTTGTGGCGAGTGAGTTACGAATATGATAAACCTCAATAAAGCTGGCGACAGTACTACGGCTATTTCCCGAAATTGATTAGTGGCCTGTTGATAATGTCTACATTGTGGTTATAATAATCTCGACGGCTAAACGGCAATGATGCTTTCGGTGAAGATGTCTCGTTATTTGAATGGCAACTTTGCTGACAGATGGCAAGTTCTTGATAGGTATTCCTAGATTCTATATCACAAAATGTTATACTTTAATTTAAGTAATAGATGTGACACTGTAATCACATTAGTCACAGATGCCCGTATATATTGCCACTGGATTATAGCCAATCCTATCCTAAACCTATGCTCTTCTCATACTTAAGTAGGGGAATATTTAGATACATCCCACGCTTCGACCGAGGCTGACCTAGGTCTATGTAAATGGGCTCACAATAGCACTCCCTACACCCTCAGCCTTATATTACCTGCATGTAAGATTATAATTCTAGCATCTTATGGGGATTGACCTACCCCTCCAACGTGACTCCCCTATTCCCGAGAACCTGGCAGACTGATGCATAATTAATAGATGCGAACACAGGTTCGTGCTCGATCCTTCGGCCTCTCTCCGGCTTTGTTAGGGGATGACTTGCATGAGTATATTAGACCCAAGGTGTTGCACGGCCTTAATATATTGATAGGAGGGACGTTACGTTGAGTCACGGTCAATTGCGAAAGAAATTGGTTTATCATGCATATGGGTATAATAGATTCAGAAACATTGCTGTAGCTTCTCGATAGTTTGAAGTATTATGCGGTCAATTCGGGTAGGTATACAATCGTACTATCCGGGTGTAAGACAACACACTCAAAGAAAGGGAGAAGCGCAATATTATTACTATACAAGTAATTTGGAATATTTGACGTCATAATCAGGGCTAAAAAAAATGTTACATTTAGAGGGCCAAGTATGTCTAATAAGAAATTATCAGTTCAGTAGATGGAGATCTTCATTGGGTTTGCAGATGGTCCGTCGATGATGCGGAGACTCAATTCCCTAGTCAAACGAGCAAATAAGCACATTCCCGAAGGCGTCGTCTTACGACAGCGCCTTATCGTTCTCGGGAGGCAGCAGGGCTCTGTGCCATCTCACCCGCGCCCGTTCCGTTCGTTCGTTAGATTTACGATGTGTCGAATCGAACTTCATACTAAGGTTAGACATTCCGGATGTGCCCTACGCGCTAGAAAGATGTGGTCGGCGAAGTCGGGAAAGCCGAACATTAAAATAGGATCGCTCCGGTAATTAGTTGTGTTGTATGACTCGCGCAAAGCTGAACTCTACGTCATCAACCGAACGGCAATAAAAGTGAAAAAGTAAAAATAAAAACAAATCAAGTAATCAAGTACGTACTATGTTAGAGCGAGAATGGGTAAGGGTAGATTTTTACGGAATTCTACGTGTACTATAGAAGTCTTCTGGCGAGCTGCAGTCCCGGCTGATACACTATCACCGGAGGGTAAACGTTTCAAGACTCATGTTATCGTACAACTAACTGGTCATGTTGCCGGTAACACGATGGGAGTAGCAAACATGTTACATTTGCCAGGAACGGAAACTTGACAGCCAAGGGTTTCAACGAATGAAACGGCGCAATACAACTGTTGACTTTCCTATGTTGGCCAATTGTTCGGTAGCCGCGCTAATCCGTACGGCGAGTCAACTGTCAACAAACGGGTGAGGCTGGATTACGTATGTGGCTAAGTTGATTCGAGTCAGGACAGCCCCGAGGAAAAAAGAGATTCGAGGCGGACGCGGCGTTCGTTAGTCTTCCCGGATGGCGATGCCCGTCCGCGGTGGACACTAGCCGGACTAATAGTAGTGTAGATGGTTACAACTGATGGATACTTTAAGTACACTTAGATGAATGGATGGTGTGAATACGCTATAGCGGCTATTTTCTCTTGGAACTATTTCTCTTGGTGATGTTGTAGGGACGGTTTAGGTATTACGAGCTGTATGTAAGTTAGGTACTTAACCAAAGCAGCCTAAGGTCCTAAAGGTAAACGGCATGGCACCGACGCTAGTAGGCTTGTTGCGTTCCAATGTGGCTCCCCAGCCCGTCATCCTCGGTACGGAGTAACAAATGCTACATAACCAAATAAACGGGCTACATTCTACCTGACCCGGTGCTGAATTAGGCGAATACTTTATAATTGTGAAAAATGATGTATATGATTGTATATCTGCCGTAAATACCCCGAAGAGAAGAACGCACGGATACTTTTCATCCCGTCTAGACGTGTACCATATGCAGTCTATCATCACTCGCTTTTTTAGTGTAGACCGCCGAATTCCAGCCCCGTAGAAGCAGCTCGCCTCACTTTTTCTTAAAGAATCCGTATTGAAATTAATATCGAACGCATGGCCATCCACACGACATGTTAAGTTCTACATATGCAAAATGCAAAATGCAAAATGCAAAGGTAGAAAGGAATATGCCTATCAGCATGAACGGCGCATGGGAAGTTCTAGGACGACGTTTCATACACCGCCAGGTCCGTCCAGTCCGTCAGGTACACATCCAGATATCTCATAATCCTCCCGCTGGACATATCCCGCTTTCCGCTAGTTTAGCTAAATCGGAAGTTAACACATTCCTTTCTGGCTTTTGAGGACTTTCACCACATCATGATCGCCGTCAGAATCGTGGCAATCTTACGGTCACTCTTTTGAGTTTTCTCATCCAAAAAAAAACCCCCCAAGATTTCCGACTGCGCCGTAGCAGTAATATCCTCAATGTCTTGTTACATACATACCCCGAATCGTGCCCAGCATGTAATGTAATGTATATGCCCAAACGCCAGCAGACCATTTTATCACCAGTCGTCCTGCCTCTCTCCTTCGGTTCGATGCTGGAGTGAACCATACTACTCACCGACAGGTGCATGCTGCAGCACACCACGACTAGTCATATAGGCCGCAGGCAATCAAGAGACGGCGGTTGGAGACTCTTTCATGGTTACGAAGAGTGTACTGATCCTGCTCTGATCCTGTCTACACGACACCTCATCCATATCCGAGAAATGACAGGGTGTGATTTGCAAATGGAATCGATGTTCGATGGCTGGGCAAAGTCTTCTACCATACCACCCGTCCATACACCATCATGATTTCTTCCAATGTTGAATGCATGTCGCCGTGTCGATTTGGCTGTCCGGCAAAATTAGTTGAGACAGTCGATGCGGTGATATGGAAATGGAAACTTGGAGTGACACCCTCACAAGACGGGATCAAATACAGATACAGATACAGATGCAGAATGATACTGGACAGCAGTACAATACAACTACAACAGGTACACGTAATGCCTAAAACCCACATCGATGCGTCCAATCCAAGCATGGAACACTAAGGTATGCATATATTGGATTACGAGGTTATGCAATTGAACACGCAGGGATATTATTTACGATTTAGGTATTACGATCCCTTGAAGAATATTGGTCCATTAGTTCGATCTGAATCCAATTAGGCCTGGACGGAGCTAGATTGGTCCCAGACCTGTCCCAAATCAATGGAACTCCAAGCCTTAAAAAGCCTTAATTGCAGTTCTGCTATGTGCAGAAAGAACCAAAAGGGCCATTAGGCTATGATGAGATAACTAAAAACTGCCTGGTATGTACCTGTGTAGGTAGGTATCTTAGGTACCTGTGTACCTAACAGCTTACCCATGCCGTAATACACGCGCTAGGTTAGGGCGACACCCCCCTGAGCCACTTTCCCACCAGCCCACCTTCCCTTGTCTTTAAGGGATTATGTACCCTGACGCCGAAACGAGTCGAAACGGGATTCCACTCGCTTGGAACTTTTATTTTTTCCTTCCCTTCCATTTGCCTCTTCCACGAAATCCACTGCTTCCTTTTTG